CTCCCGCTGTGTAACTTCCCTGTTTCGGATTTGATTCTTCTCACAAAATCGATCTTCAGAAACAATTGTTTTTCGTGGAAGAGAAGATACTATCGCCAGCTTCGAGGTTTGGCGATGGGAAATCGCCTAGCACCAATTCTTGCCATCCTCTTCCTTGACAGAATTGAGAACCAGGCCATCTACGCAGATCTTTCCCTTTCACTTTACTATCGTTACATTGATGATTGTATCGCCCCTGCCAGCAGTTCCGAGGAAGCTCGCCAGATTCAAAACCATTTGAATTCTCAAGATTCATCCATTCGCTATGAGATCGAACTACCTGGTGAAGATGGTTTTCTACCTTTCCTAAACACCAAAGTTAAAGTGAACGATTCCGGAAACGTAGAAATTGGCTGGTGCACGAAACCAGCAAACAAGGGTCTGATGTTAAATGCAAAATCCAACCATCCTGATCACGTCAAATGCGCTGTCATTAACAACACCATCAACACTTACACTTCTATATGTTCCAACAACGCCTTACTTCAAGAAGTTGAACAATCCTTCAAAACAAGAGCCCAAAGGAACGGTTATAACCAGCAGTACGTCGACCGAGTCAGATCCAAACCTAAGAAATCCACTCAAAATCATAGTGAACCCCTACCCACGCTTTCCATTCCCTACATCTCAAGTGCATTCACCAACGACATAAAGAAAGCAGTAAAGCGAAGCAACTTGAACATTCGGCTAATTCAGCGTCCCCAAAGTTCACTGAAGAATCTCCTCGTCGAATCAAGACCTTACGACAAATCATGCGAATATGCAGAAAAATGCAACGTCTGTCGAAACTCGCCATCAACACCTTCAACCCACTGTTCGCAGAAAGATGTGGTCTACTCCATCAAATGTGACCTCTGTCAAGACGACGACGGTTTGTACATTGGGAGACAAGTCGCCCATTAGCTGTAGGGTTTCAAGAACACTACCGATCTGCAGCGAATCCGACAGCAAAGTCATATAAGAACATGGCCTTCTCAAAACATTATAAGACGTCTCATGAGGGTCAAAAGCCAAAACTTACTGCAAGAATACTGGAAAAAACAAGCGGTTCGTTGGAACGAAAAATCACAGAAGCTGTCCTAATTCAAAAACTTAAACCGGACTTGAATGGACAAATTAATATTGTAGATTTTGTAATTTAACTTAAATAGATACTTTATTCTAATTTGTTTTGCTAATTTAAATTTTCTCGGATACGTCATCCTTGCATGCTCGCGCAAGCAACTTGCGCAAGTAAAGCTGGAGTAATACGAGCAACAAAATTGCTGCAACTTGCAACAAAATCTGATTTCAACGCATGTTAATTGAAAATGTTCACACATAAATTACAAATCACGAGGCAACATGTGTCAACATTTCTACTTAACATGCGTTGAAATAAGATTTAGTTGCAAGTTGCAGCAATTTTGTTGCTCGTATTACTCCAGCTTAAATTGCGAGTGCAACAGTTAAAAAACAGCAATCTTTATTACCTGAAGATGGAGTAACACTGCAAAACGTTGTAAACAATAAAATTGTTCTATTTTTTAAGCATTTGTGGTCGTTGTTAATTCCAAGAAAATATACACATAATTGTAATGTTATAAACAATTACAATATTACAGATCTTGTTCGTTCGTTCTTTTAGCTGTATTTTATGGTATAGTGATAACAGGCGGTGCTTTCGTCGTCAAATACTTTGGTGCATTGGTATTACAGGTAGATGTCGTTCATTTGGTTGTAGTGAAATTAATAAATTTTCTGCCATAGAACACAATTACCACATTGGTCAGGTCTGGGAACTTACCGCCAGTAAGTGACTGATAATGATACAATACCCCCAAGGAATGCTATATAAAAAGTCCCCACTTGAGAACGGATATATCAAATGTCATTCTCTCAAATTGGTGACTCCATAGACGTAGGGGGTGGGAGTATGGCTGTAGCTCCCAGTCAGATTTTATTAGTCGGGCAGATTCTACTTAAAATGGGGAATTTTGGCAGGCCTCGGTATAGTGTGTATTTTCATTATAATAATATTGATTAGTAAGAGAAATGATGATTATCATTAATAGCATTAGTGATGTTTTTGGTCGACGAGGCAAGTGAGTTCCGTGTTTCATTTGACGATTCTTGTCATTTCAATAGTCAATACATAGTTAATTTGGTATCACGGGGCATGAATTCTTCTCACATGTATATATAGAAATAGCGCTTCAGAGCTCTCAGATTTTCAAATGGATTGGTCGCACTAAAGTGGTACGGCCACTGAGCTTTTCTATATTACTGGAGGAGGTGCTCCTATCTCTCTTCAGTCAAAATAGTGTCGCCAAAAAGATGGCGGATTTTCACGTTTGCTAACGCCAGAATGACGCCACTGGTCCCAAATCCTCATGGTAATGATCACTGAGCAAGGCTCATTTTGAGCCCGCTACCACTTTCACATCCCCCCGATTTTCGCAAAAATATTTCAGCTTTTTGTTTTGGAGTTTGCCTTCTCTTCGACATTTTAACATTAGTTTCGAGTTTCACAAGTGGCAAGAACCATCCTGGCTAGTGAAAGACAGGGAATGAATATTCAAACCTCAAGAAATCTTGGAGAGACGTTGTTTGTAAAAAGGTAAAAATGTATTGTTTATATGTCAGTACTAGGTCAAAACAAAGCGAAATAAACAGCCTATTTGTATTGTGTAGTGGACAATTTTAGCAACTGATGTATACAATTAGGTTGCCAAAACTACCTGAAACAGTCTTCCTCTAAAGAAAATGGTTGAAATTTCAGATTTTAGTTTCCTTTGTAATTTCAAGTTTTACTATATAAAATGCCAGTTGACCACCATCTGCTTCATGATACTACTTAGTAAAAATATAGCTATAGAGGAAGACCTTTTTAAGCCAGAACTACCATGGCCTTGAATGATTTTATTCATGCAGTACATCACACAATGAGAAAGTTCCTGATTTCTACTTGCAAAGATACAGTTGTAATTTTCTTTGGATTTTGAAGATAGACAATGGAACAACTTGGCAAAGTTTAGTTTATCATTAATAACCTGTCTTTACTTTATTTACCGGCATTCTAATATGTATATTTCTGTAAAATTATTTAATAATTATGCATTATTCAAATCCAAATATGATCATCAAGGGCCAGTTGTACACTAAGGCTGGGTCATGCTATCAACTGGATAGTGATCGGTTGTTCATTGGTTAAATCCATAAAATTGACAAGTTTGAAATCACAATCCTGCAGAAAGAACTACCCTACCTTCATACAACAGACTGTCTACTATTTAAAACACGAGTAGGGGTGTTTTATCAGATATAAAGCGCGAGACGCAGCCGAGCGTTTTATGTCTGATAAAACACGACAACGAGTGTTTTGAATAGCTTAAAATACGACTACAAAACAATACTAATTAGGATGAACCATTATATAATGCCACATCCTTTATGAGATATAATGTCACTCCACGTGACATATTATGGCTGACATGATTTGCCGCAAGGTTTATGAATTATTAATAAGTATTTTAATGTTAAATATAATGTTCAGGCCTTGTTTTCAGGTTAACAAATGATTTGATATTGTATGAACATCTAGTAGTACTCAGCGTTTTACAGTTAATTTCAAATCGACTGGGCTATCGTCTGCCACGAGGCATAACTATAGAAGAGGGGAATAGCAAACTAAACTGAAAACTGAAACTAGATGCGATGACTTCTCCATCAGGACCGCATTTGAGAGGTTTAACTAAATCCAATAAGAAATGTAAGCAATATAACAGGTCGATTCCAAAACCAGGTGATTTTCTGGAACTTGATGATCAACATAGAAGTTTATTTAAAAAAACTGTTCCTGACCAATGTGCTTTATAGGTAAAATATTTTAACATCTGATTATGATCACCATTAATACCTCAGACTGACAGACTGATGAACTAATATGTATGGCACATTGCACATACCTATAATGCGCTTGTAAGGATTATTGAGAGGCAACTGGCGCATAAGATTAATATTTGGGCCAATAAACCACTAAGGTCCTGGTGGCCCTCGCCATGAATTTATTTGTAATGAGGGCAGCCAAATCATGTACATATAAAATTATTATTACTGACCAAAAGATGACATTACATAAACTAGCTATCAATTGGTCAACCCTTTAAGGGGAAGCTCAACCCAGAACTTTCCCGTTTGCAGGTTAGTAGGTTCAGGCATAGCTCTCAGTTTGGAGAAATCGAATTTTTTTCATGTTGCATTTTCTTGTCATGAATTATATTTATAGTGTAATATAGTGATAATTGAAATTTTCTGAATAATGTTTATACATTAGGCTTTCATTAAATGAAATGGAATTATCGGACAGTGTTCCCCCTAAAATATACAAGATATAAAAACCGGGGTTGGTGGCAGCAATGGCCCTCAGAGGAAATGTATTACCTTCTACCGTATTTTTACAATGTTATCAATAATTAACACTGTAAGTCGTAGGTAATGAAGAATATAGCACATATTTAATTTAAAAGCAAACAAGTCAACATATAATTTGTTGCAATAATTTATTACTTTTGTCAATTAAGCCAGTGTCATTCTACAGAGCCATTTAATTTGGTCATTCCATGCCTTGATATACTTGTAGCTGGTCCATGAATCAATAAACTTTCTATTTATTAGTATGTTTAATTTATGTGAGTATTATGAAATAAAGATAAACTAGCTTCGAATCTACAAAGAAATCAACATCGTTATATATAATATTTGCTTCGCTTTGTGATCTTCGTGTATATCCACGCACAAATCCGTTGGCGTCAACCAATGAAATTCGTTATTTCATTTGATTTCTCCAGAGCTATATGCCCAACCTTAACCTGTGAACGGGCCATGCTCTGGGTACGAGATTGCTATTTCACTGAATCTACAACACCGGATGGAGAAATTTTTTTATAATATATCAGTAAATAATTAACTAATAAAGACACACACCTGAGAATACTGAAATATTGTTGGGATCGCGTTTGGCTTCAGTATAACTGCAGGTTCTTTATCCCTCCTTCACCATATCCATATGAAGCTAAAATGTTGCGAACAAAGGCGACTTCGTTTCGTGGGGACAAACATAATAGGAGCGTTCTTGTTCACATTTTCCATTCATTTTGCATATATCTCAGGGTTATTCCTGGCATCTGGGAAACTGAAAGAGAATACAGTACATATATTATATATATATAATTGTATATTTTAATTACAACTATTTTTCTTCCAATAATTAAAATATTTTATTTTATAAATAAAAATTTGAGTGCTGTGAATTAGGCTCTAAGTCTAGCACTTGTGCTCATGGGTTTTAGTATAAATTTTGCATATCAAATGAGCTTTCGCGCGTTCTGATTGGTTAGTTGACTAGTAAATCTGAGGCATTATTTACTAGCAGCTAGTAAATAATGCTTTTCAAAACGAATGATTCGGCAAATTTGGTTTCAAAATCGACAAAATATTGAAAAAATCGTCGCAGAAAACGAAAAAAGCACAAAATGTTGTATTTAACTTGAAAGGTGGGATTTCTTTAATTATTATTTTACTGTGTTAAACATATTCACGGACAATTTAAAACTTATTTAAAACTCCGAAGCATTCGCTTCAAACAATTGGCAAAAACTATCCCGACTGTTGGGAAAAGCCGTATTATTCTTTTTAAAACAGTTTTGTATCCTATAAATTTCCCAATTTGTACGATACGTACTATTTCTTTTGATATGTCATGTTTTCATTGTGCTGTATGGTGTTCTGACCGCTGTATTGTGTTTTCGAAACTTGTAAAGTAAAAAGTGTTATTAAAAGTTTATTTCGAACGATTATAGTTTTACATTCCGTTTTACCAAATTCCTCAGCCATTTCCTGAAGAAATTAATGCTAAACAGAAACTATTTTTAATTCTAAGTCTTGTGAAAGAGTCATTACGTTATTATGTTTATATTCCAAGTAGAAATCGAGAAAAACAACTTTCTAAAGGCCCGTTTACACGGGCGATTTTGATGCGATTTTTAGTTGCGATTTTCTCCTTTTGGAGGATATGAAGGAGTAGATTACTTGATGATGTTGTTATGAGATTTCATAACCTGAAACATTTATAACTCATCCACTTCTTCATATCCTCCAAAAGGAGAAAATCGAAACTTAAATTGCAGTAAAAATCGCCCATGTAAACGGGCCTTAATAAAGCAATAAAGTCACACATGCAAGAAGTCATTTTGAAAGCGTGTGTGTACAAGAAACACTGCAACACTATTCGTGAATAGGCCGAAAACAGTTTCTGAAATTTAATTGAACTGATATTCGGATATTTTGTTTTATTCATTAAAAATTTATTCCAAAACAATTATTCGCCTCAGGCTCAGTGATTACGGTGAATATTTACCTCGACTTCGTCTCGGTGAATATTCACCGGTAATCACTTCGCCTTCGGCGAATAATTGTTAAATATTAACCAGACTATATCCACCCACATGTCTAATCATTGCACCCTAATGTGTCCTAGCTGCAGCACTTTATCATTTTTCAGTGTTAATTATTCAGTGCTGGAGCTCATTATGGATTATTAACCCATTAAGTTGCATTGCACCCTAACACACCCTACTTATTATTTTACTCTGTCCAATGCAAGATGATTTTACGAAGACCTAGTATTCATTATTCATTAACTAGAAAATACATGCATGCAGAAACCCTCCCCTTGCTGACAAAACCATTGTATTTTCCGAACATGAAGTATCTAAAGTAGTTGTCATGATAACACGATAATTTTTTAAGAACATTCTTACAAATGAAAATCGTCTAAAAATATCACTTTTAATTACAAAATTATCAATTTCCCAACATATATATGTTAGGTATGTAATTATACGTAATACAAGCTTCAATTTAACGTAAAATTCAACCACAAACAATTCACAAAACGTTCCAAAGTGTTCTTTATAAGACTAAACTACCTTTAGCCTGTGTTCCAGTCCACTACACCGTTGTGTGTGGACTGTGTATGCATGACGTAGCGCATGTTTTGTTAATTTCATAATTTATGTAAATCTAGTAAACATGGCCGCCGAAGGAGTGTCAGGAAAATACAAGTGAACTTGAAAGGAAATCGACTTAATGGCATCATGCATTTCTGTAGAATATGTGCTTTAGAGTTGAGAAATCATAAAGATTTAAATTTTGTAGCTGGCTCAGGCGAATTTAGGCCTATTGACGCGATAGTTCAATTGTCGTTTGTAATCGCTGACACGTCGCAATATGTGTGCCGAAAGTGTAGAGGAAGTTTGAAGTCGTGGGTACAAGCGAGGCATAAAGCAAGCAAAATTGAGAAAGAGCTGGAAGAAATATCTGCAAGCTCCGCTTCTGACAGCAGGAAAGTTGCTTCTGTCAGCCACAGTATACCAAATCAACATGAAAAACACGAGCCAGTGACGGAATGTAAAGCAGTCCAAACTAACTTATCATTTCCAATTGAAACTGAATCGAGTACAAGCGATACTGCATGTTGCTTATGTTCATGTGTGTTGGCCGAGTGGTAATCGTAGTAGAAGACTTCCACCTGATCTTACGCAACTGGCAATTTATCTACTTAGAACTCAAAACAAAAATATGGCGAAGTTTGCATTGAAGCACCCCCTAATAAGAGCTCACATCATAACTTTTATTGAAAAAGAGATTAATAAAGAGTGCCAGGAAATGTGCAGGGAAACTGTAAAGGTTCAAGCTAGTGGCAATGATATTCCTGTAGAAACAGAACCAAAAAGTAGAAGAGATATTTTTGCATCTCCATTGTCAACATCAGGGAAAAGAAAGATGTCAGATGATGACAACAAAGTTACAGGAACAAAGAAATTTGTGAAAAAAGATATCCGCAGCATATTTAAAAGGACAAGCAAAGAGGATGTGATGTCGTTCACTTTTGAAAAAGCCAATGGGGAGATGAAAGACCGTTGTCCTTTGTTTTGGACTATCTTAAGAGCAGCATCTACACCACATAATTCTCAACCCAGATCAGAGGATGGTGATATTTATTGGCAGACTTCAGTTGTGACTGCTGCATCGATATGTCTGAAAAACAGATCACAGAGAATGACAGTTGTTCAGCTACTGATTTCATTGATAATAAACCACTCATCGTACACAGTAAGTTAGTCTCTTAGTTTATATTATTCAATTAGATTGATTTGCTGTTCCAGTTAAAAAAATATGAAAATCTATTTTCAGCAAACAATTAAAAAAAATATATACAATGGATCAAATTCCACATGTACAGTCAGTATAAAATAGGAGTGTGCTAATCTGTATTTGCAGCTGACACCTGTGGAGGACATAGCTCAATGTGATTGAGTTGAAAGCTTTCACAGGATGCCAGACTGACTGTCAGCTGCCCACGGTATGGATAAAATCAAGAAATTATATTTAAATTCGGTCTCGATTTTAATACGAATCTTGGATTTTCAAGTGTTTGGATTTTTTTATTCCTTTCATATTTTCCCAGTTTAAAACTGGTACAATATATTTGCAGTGTGTTGTATTAAAGTTTCAATTTTTTTATGGCAGATGCTGACTTGGGAATATAATGATATGTCGTTAATATAAAAATAAGTTGCATTGATTGCATACATCATGATATTTTCAGGTGTAACCGATTACGATTTACGATGCCTTGAAGTGTAACAACCCTGCTTAATTACAAATATTTTTTTGCATATTTTGATTTTAAAACATGTTTTAATTTAAAAACTATCTTTTAGTCAACACTGGTGCAACTGAAGACAATGCGTTTAGCTGTGTCACATACTTACTTCAATAAGAAGTTAGATGAATTTGGTCAGGGGCATGATGATGATATTCTTGAAATGATGGAACTACAAAAAATAGAGCTACAGAAAGCATTCCCCACAACAAAACAGCCTCAAGTAATTGAAATGGGAGTCGATTCTGATGATGGCAATTCCAGCTTGACAAATGCATCAAATGCAATTTTTGCTCAGCGACTTGCTTTGATTGAAGAAATACCACATTCTGATCTGGAAATTAATTTTTCTGTTCCTGTGATGAAAAACTGCCCCCGTAAGTTTCTTAATTCTAATTTTAATTAAAAATGGCTTGCATTGTATACAGCGGTATAATATAAAAGTGATGAGTGATAAATCATAATTATCGTACTGGCAACCTGTATCCAGAAGTGGGATAGTGGATTCATGAGGGATACTAAATTTTGAATCTTGGTATCTCATTTGGATACTAAGAAAATATATAAATTTCAGACCCTGCAACACTGTAGCATGTGTTCCAGTCCAGTACACCGTTGTGTAATGATGAATAGATAGAATTTAATTAATAATTAACATACCGGTATTGCTTTAAGAATCCAGTCCAGCTGTTCAGAGATGTTCAAAGAAGTCAGATGACAAAGATATTAACGACATCAGAGAAGAAGTTGATTCCAAAGGATTTAAGGTCTGAATTATGTGGTTATTTCATTTTTTAGACAATCATTTTACTACACTATTGTACATGTAATGTAGCTAGTGTTACAGTCAAGTATGTAATATATGAACAACGAGAGAGAGCGTTTCACCGGGATATCCAAACATGAGAAAACAATGTGTGGGGGCATGAGCGCAAGTGTTTTCATACATTGTTTTCGAGTGTTTGGATATTCCGGTGAGACACGAGCTCGAGTTGTTTATATGACTTCTCAAATGAATCGAGACATAACAGAATGCTTTTGTTTGCTGATTTGAATAGAATTTTTAACCAAGCATAATGTAATTAGGAATTCTATTCAAGTAATTTTGAATTCGTAATTAAGATATTTGATGAAAACACTAGTGACTTTCATCAAGTTTCACCGGGTTATCCAAATGGTATCTTGTGATCAAATAGGTGATTATCATTGGCTGAATTGCTCATGAATTATTAATGAATTTGAGAAGTGTGTATACAACACTACAGTGTACAACACATCTAACAACTAATAGAAATAACTTTTGTTTGATAGGTCATGGCTGATGGGGGCCCCTAACTGTCGAGGGCCCCTTAGTTTTTTAACTAACCATACCCAATGAGCGTTACGCCACTGGTTATGGGCAAGAAGCCATTTGGAGTAAATTTGTTAAAGTGTGACTAACCCCAAATATGATTTTTGGTATGTCTAATATTCGGGTCATTCAAAGAAGAAATGTGATATATCTTCATAATAAAAAATTCCATCTTGATCAACTTTTTCAGTGTCAAAGTTTTCGGATATGATGTCATTAGGTGAATTTTTGGTACAAAACTAATTTGCAGTTCACCTAATAACATCATATCAGGAAACTTTGATAGTTCTATAAGGTTGATCAAGTTGGTCGGTTTGTGTACGATTGTTTTATTTTGAAGGTTTTTATTAAACCTAAAATCCTTTTAAATTTCAGCTATGTTTTGACAATGTTGACACACATGTTGAAGTACACGATATGACAGAAGGCAACCAAAACATAGATACACATGAATGTGTTATTTCCTTTGTCCCAAATCGTGTTAGCAACAAGGCTCTCAGTATGGATGCACCGAAGAGATGCTTAAAGGATTTTGACAATGCCAACTTCTTATGCAACCAAGATGAGTGTAATCTGCAACGTGAAAACTACATAGTGTTGGTTGAAAGAATAATTACAAGTGATATAAAGAGCCTCCACTTTCTAAATGATGTGGTCACCAAGCATATCATCCATGCACATTCAAGGGAAATGGCACAGAAATGCCACATGGTATGTATATCCATTAATTAAAATTGAACTTCTACAAAAAATATTTCCAAATTTTCCAACAAATTTCCTTTGGCAGATGATTTCATAGTCTATGTTCCAGTCTACTACACCATTGTACGACTGGAACACAGGCTAATGATTCCATGGCATATAGATGCATGTTAGATTTAGTTTAGTTTTTTTCTTGTAGAATTTCCTTGATGTCTTGCATGCAGATGAAAATGATAAAGATGGCATTAGTAAGATATTGACAAGCCTGCAGAATTATCAAGCTTTTGTTGGTGATGATGAACTGAGAGTTTACAATGAACAGGGCGTTGTTGGTGATCAACTCTCTGTAGAAAGGGGAACAAATTCACAGTTTCATTTGGCTAATGGTTTTACACCACAGGAGAGATTTGAAAACATGCACTTTGAAATTGCTGGTTTCCACTCGGAAATGAAATTTATGCAAGTACGTGTGTATATGCGAGTGTATATTAAATCATGGGGTAAACAAAACTGGAATAGCCATATTCCCCCTAGCAAGAGTTCCATTCCGCTACACATCTGTATGTGGACTGAACACAGGATATACAATCTTCCTTCTAAACGGAGATATTTTTTTTAAGAAAGTGGTACTTTCCTCTTTCGAACGAAGATCTACGTCATCTATCTTTTTGTCCAAATGATAACCGTACACTAATGATAACCGAGAAAGTTTAGTAGAACCCATTTTTTGAATACATTCTAATTAGCCTTTCTCAGGCTAAGTTTAGCCGCAATTTTTGGGGTACTTCTCCCAATTTCGAGAGTGTAGTCGCTGTATTTGGGTGTGTAGTGGCAAATTTACAGATTTGCAAAGTCGTTTTTCACATTGTTTCAATATAGATTTTCTGAAGACAGCAACATCTAAAATGGTAGATATTGGCCTGTGTGAGAAAGGTTAATTATTCAATTTTAACCCCATCTACAGTGTACAGCAGTACGCATGACATAACGATTTACCAGCCTAGACCTAGGCCTTCTATTTTTATTTATATTTTTTAATATTCAGCGTTGTTTCACATGAAAAGACTGGGACTAGGTGATTTGGGGGCGGGGCGGAGGAAGGACACAAGCCTGACGCAAGCGAAAATATAGAAGGCCTAGTGGATTTCCCAACAACAAGGCCAAAACTGCCCTGAAACTGCCCTGATTGCGAAATGCACAATTGTTGCGTTCTCAAACAGAATTATTTGCAACTTAACAGCGAATTTAAACCGATACAGGTAAAATAAACTCATTAATAGTATAAACTTACTATTTTTATTTGTATACACGTCTAGAAAATCGGGTTTTTTATCATAAAGCTTGAAGCAACACTATATATTTATATATGTTGACAAAGTGTAGCGAAACGGCACAAAATAATAATTCTTTTATTCGTTAGACAATCTACTGTTTTGCTTTGAATAACTATATTTGCGAATTGCGAATGAGGATTTTGAAATTATTGTTCAAATATTACGGATATACCATTTGTAAACAATGTACGTTTTTATATACAGTAGCTACTGTACGGGCTAATAATATATGTATCCGTTTTATTTTGTATATTTTACAAACACAAGACTGCTTCTTGCCAAAATTAAGAAAATATATATTAATGTAGTTGTGTATAAGTGAGACAAAATTTCATGAAAGATTCTACTTTTGGTATATATTTTGACTCATTTTGTGCTTTCGCTACACCTTGTCAACATATTAAATAATAGTGTTGCTTCGAACTTTATGATAAAAACCCCGATTTTCTAGACGTGTATACAAATAAAAATAGTAAGTTTATACTATAAATGAGTTTATTTTACCTGTATCGGTTTAAATTTGCCGTTAAGTTGCAAATAATTCTGTTTGAGAACGCAATAATTGGGCATTTCGCAACCAGGGCAGTTTCAGGGCAGTTTTGGCCTTGTTGTTGGGAAATCCACTAGGCCTTCTAGGCTTGCTTCCTCCGCCCCGCCCCCAAATCACCTAGTCCCAGTCTTTTCATGTGAAAAAGCGCTGAATATTAAAAATGTATAAATAAGACTAGAAGGCCTAGGTCTAGGCTGACGATTTACCTTAAAATTGAAGACACCATTTTTTCACACTTGCTACAAACGAACAAAAAATAACAGTTCAACTGGGCCAATATTTATAATTTTGAAATTTTCATTTTAATTAAATCTAGCTTGTATGGACAATTTCTACAGAACTGGTTGCAACGATCGCTGCACATTGGGTAGTGACAAAGTTTTAATTAATCGACGTAATGTGGTAACTGAAGTCAAGAAAAGGTATACGCTGCCAGCAGAAAATTTCTGGAGGTGGGGCTTGAGTCGAGAATATTAGCTGCCACGTTAACATCTTTGCGTATAAATAGTTTGGATGACACGCCGGATGAAACTGTTCTTCCAGGTGATTTACAGAATGCAAGCAAGCCAGATAAAAAGAGGTACCTAAGGAACTTAGCTGAAACAGTCGTCGATAATTTCGTGCGAAATAAAGAAACAGTCGCTCAAGCGTTACAAGCAAAAGTGGACTTAGAAGAACAGATTTCTAAACTTGTTAAAACTAGCGATGGAAAGTTTAAATGCCAAGAGCCGACTTGTACCAAGACCTTTCAATTTAACGGAAAGCGAAAGAGAGACCATGAACAGAAAGCACATGGTATAGTAAGGACGGTAGTTACGAAAGCATTTAATGATACTGATGATATGTTCAACTACCAATGTTCGTTGTTGGAGTATTTAATGCTCTTGAGAAATTTTACGGTTGCAGTGTCGGAGGGAGATGGAGCTCGTATTATACGTTGCTGGAAGTTTCTTCTGCTGTATTTAAAAGCAGATGGTGCTTCAAGTCGGAAGTATTGCTTGGAAGGACTCTATCTTCTGTGCCAGATCAATTGCCTGTTGTCGCAAAGGGAAGCTTATCGCTTGGTGTGGAATCGTAGTGTAAAGAGAAAGACAGGCCGTGGTGGCAACATTCCTATCGATTTAGCTATGGAGCACTATATCCGCATTGTTAAACTGCTCAAGAGAAAGCTGGGTTCTAATCAGAACAACAAAAATACTCTTCGACGATACATGAAGGCAATTGGATTCTCAAAGGGTTTACTTGAAAATTTCGATGAATCGACTGGAATAATCCAGAGGTCTGGAAAACATACCAAGAAGTCAACTGCAAGTGACAAGGCTAAAATTGTGGAAGAGCTGATGAATTGCAGAGCATTTATTCCTGAGCCAAAAAGAAAATATGGTGTATTCAAAGATTTTAAACCAAGCCTGCTTACAGACTTTGATTATCACAGTTTTTATGACTGGATAGATCAGCATAAAAACGATGTACAGAAGAAAAGAAAGGCACGTTGTCCTGCAAATAATTGTATATACTGCACAGAACACACATCCATGAACAGGTTTTGTCATTGTTTTTTAAGTGACCAGTGTTCATCTAGCTTGTGTTCAAGTCCACTGCACCGTTGTGTGTGTGGTGTAGTGGACTGGAACACAGGCTAGTGTTTGTCATTCCTTATTTAGAAATACAATTTCTATGGTTTATCTTTAGTGGTCATATTCAACCAATTGCAAAACCTGTTAATACGTTATATGGGTAGGAGCAGACCCTTTGCATCGTATGCTTATGTTTTATAAGTTGAATAATATTGCATACAATGCTTGTGATGTTACTATGAGTGTATATCCACACCGGGCAAGCTTGAAAAATATGCCTGACCACGGTGGGAATCAAACCTACGACCTTTGGAATACTAGCCCAAAGCTCTGCCAACTGAGCTACGCGGTTTGGTCGGTTCGAGTATGTGATATTTCGGAATAGAATCTAGTTCCTTCGATATCAATGTTATCTAATAATAATCATGAACACAGAAAAATCATGATTAATATTGCATACAATTTGCAACTAAGATAAAATTTTAAAAAAACATTTCATTGCATAATCTTTTATACATGTTTTCATTTGTACATATGGCGCACCAAAACAGTTTTGACAATCAATTTTGAATTAATGATTGTGTCATCTGGCATATGTAATAAAATGTGCTATTTATTAGAATATACTTTAAATTTCAAATGTATTTACGACTTCCGAGTTATTGTCTTGTCTAAATAGAATAATCATTTCACCAATTCATTTGTTTAAAGCATTAATACAGTATACTAAAACTGTCTGTACCATTTCATTTGTTTAAAGCATTAATACAGTATACTAAAACTGTCTGTACCATATTGGCTACTAACTCTTGACGAACGGCCTTCGCTCGAAATGTCGAGTTTCTGCTTATTTTTTAAGGTAGTAATATAACCACTCAGCACAGCATTAATACAGTATACAATACCTCTTGACAACTTGAACATGGATGCTTTTTAGCTGGTAAGTTACAGGGACAGTAAATCCTCAATTAAACCTTCCTTCTCTTTAACAGGACCTGCCTTTTTTCGTCATGCAAATGAAATACATGTGTATTAATTGGATTTATTTGGTCTAGAATTCCTCTCATTATTTCCTAAAGATTGTTGGGCTCTATATGAAGCCCTTCGCCTCCCAAACCTTATAACACACTTACGTACCTAGAGGTGGGGTTAAGAGAGGATTTACATTAATTATTGTAGCTTTACTATTATTATTCAATAAATGATGATTCCGCTAAAGATTGTTCCATATTATTTTCATTATCATCTTCATGTGTGACCTGGGAACAGTCCTGAAACGATTGTAGCATATAACTATCCCACAATGCAAGGTCTTCAGCTTCAGAATCATCCCTAATACTTATCCATTCATCAGGAAGGCTGTCCATTGACTGGTCAATGTCCAACAAATTTAAGGAGCCAAAATCTTCCTTTGTGTCACCAAACACTTTGCCTATACTTATAAAATATGTTCAATGCATAAACTTTGCGCCATATTTCTACATACCGGTATACATCATCAAATGTAAAGAGGAATTGACAGTTAGTTAAAACTTGGTTAATATGGAAACTGTAGAATTCAGTGTGTAGACTTGGTAGAGAAACTGTTCTATGTTGAGTCAGTGTCTCCCTGTATTCGTGGAGAAGTGTATGAAGTTGCTTCTGCTGTTCAGGGGAAACATTTCGTGTTTTTATTATTGGCTCGACACTAGTTTGCCTGGTTGTAGTAGTGTTCATTTGCACCCAGTTTATATTACATAACTGAGTGCAAGTACAGGACTTTGCACAGTTATCACAGCATTGGCAACCACTTGACTTCTCTTGCTTATAATTTTCAAACTTTTTCATATGACTATGTCTCCTGCATTGTGTTTCTTTAATGTAGTTTCTCATTTGATGATCTGCTCCTCTGAGCAACATTGCATTATATAGAATCCTGCTGATACTAGTGCTACCATTACGTCCAATTCTTCCACTTTCTTGAATATATGCTTCCAAGGATTTTGGTACTCCAAATTGAATTGACTTGTTTACATTGCTGCAGTTTACACCCATACCAAAAGCAACAGTGCATATAACAACCCTGAGACAGCTGTCGGGGATAGCCAGTTGTGCAACAATATGCTTTTTTACACTTTCTGGTGTTCCACCATGAAACATATCCACAAGGCGAAACCTGGGATTTGCTTCACAGTTCAGATAAATATTATTTCCTAGATCCGAGCAGAATGCACTATAAATTGTTGCATATTGGTTCCGTGTTTGAGTATATATAAGTCTCCAAGAACATGTTTCTTTCTTTTCTATTAATTCATTAATAATTGAATAGAACATGCCAATGACTTCTTTATCACTTTCCACATACTCAACACAATACCTGATATTTTTTCGTTCCGGGTTTTTTTCAATAAAAAGAGTTTCAGATATGTCAATATCAAGCATCCCAATTACTTTCATCTTGGTTTGTTGAGTTGCAGTTGCTGTAAACAAGGCAAATTTCGTTTCTGGGTCAAGAAGGCATTTAAATTCATTGAGTTCACCATACCATTTTCTAAATGGTTTCTTTCCAGTTGCATCTGATCCCCTGAAAAAAAGTATTTAAAATAATATTAACACAACACACCTATTGAAGTGAACAAGTAGGCAAAACTGTAATATAAATACCATAGATGCATCTTATTTTCAAAGACCTCTATGCTCTTATCTTTGCACCTGTCATGGAATCACATAACCTTATGAAATACTTAACAATCCCTTCTACTGTAACCCCCCCCCCCCACACACACACACACACACATCACTCTTCCTGCTCCGACAATAACAAGACATAGGCCTCTTTGACCAACTTAGTCACTCACTACAGCTGTAGCAAAGTCAATAAATCTCAATGGGTTTGAGGGCAGAATGAAAGAAAACTGGTTTTAATATTCCCCTTGTTTTCCTCCATGACTTATGCCTATGCAGAAATATGTATACCCACTTTTGTATCAACTATCAAGCCTTTATAATCAGTATTGATTTGATAATCTATACTAGAAAATACATGCATGCAGAAACCCTCGCCTTGCTGACAAAACCATTGTATTTTCCGAACATCAAGTATCTAAGTTGTCATGGTAACACGATATTTTTTTAAGAATATTCTTACAAATTAAAAATCGCCTATAAATATCACTTTTAATCACCAAATTATTAATTTCCCAACATATATATGTTAGGTATGTTATTATACGTAATATAAGCCTCGATTTAAGGTAAAATTCAACCACAAACGCTTTGCAAAGCGTTTTAAAGTCATTAGTGTTCTTTAATATAAAACTAAACTGCTTTTTAAAATGGCTTTATCGATAAACTTTGAGTTTGCAATAAAATGATTTAAAATTCTCGCTCGCAAATAACTTTGCTTTCTTATTTATTTATTTAAAAAATTCAATATCATAAAAAAGGGAATCAATATTGAAGATACACTGAAATTATATGCTGTCTTGTTTAGTTGTTTCATATACACAAAGGCCGTCGGGTTTTAAATCCATTATAAAATCAATATTTAAAACAAACTTACCTTCGTTAACGTCGTCTCCCTTCTTTTAGCCGATTCTTTCGCAGTTCTTTTCTCAGAGAGTTTTTGAAATTTACAAAATCTTGCAAAAATGCGAGCAAAAATGAAATATATTTGCAAGAAATTTATCAATCATCAAATCAACTCAAGAAATTAAATGTTTGCTATTTCGCTGTCGTCATGCAGTCGTCATGCAGTCGTCATGCAGTCATTGGACCAATCAGTGTCCGCTATTCGTGACAGTCCGCCATATTTTTGAGATCAGTGAGGATGACCACCCACCCAACACCGTTGGTGACCCACGCCCGCGATATTTGATGAACTTTAGACTCCGCTAATGCTTTCGTTTCCCCGGGTGTAAATAGCCGGGGGGAATTAGTACCCTCGCACGGCGCTTCGCGCCGTCGGCTCGGGGATAAACCCCTTACCATTGTGCAATTATGTGTGCTTCGTCGTATGCTACTCCAATACAATGATCTCGAAATTCTTCAGAGCACAAAATGTTTCTCCACGCTTTTTTACCAAGTAAACATTCAGGGAAAGCAAACACCAAGGAATATTCGCCTTCTCTCACGTTTTTAAGAATATTTTCATACTCGCGATCGCTTGCCGAAGCATTCGAACTGTTCTCCGAATACAGAGCAATTGAAGGGATACCAATCTCTTTCATGTGGTTACATTGATCTTCCATTAAAGATTTTAATGGCGAGATCACAATTAGCGTTGAAATTCCAATTGTTTGTTCTTGAAGTATATCATAAACCCAAGGTAGCGACTGGAATACAATGGATTTTCCATATCCCGTTGGAGCGTTAAAGAAAATATTTTGACCATTGCAAAAAGCTTTTATCAATTTCATTTGATCATCGTACAGCTCATCGATCTTAAACACATATTTTATTAAATCAAAAGCCTCTTGATATCTTTTATTCATGTGCTCCACTCCTTCGGCGGCCATGTTCATTTGCATAAATTATGAAATTAAGTCAAATTAACAAAATATGCGCTACGTCATGCATACATTTACCCCATTTCTGTGGACATCTCTGGACGAGAATTTTGAGAATATTGCACAGTCCACACACAGCGGTGTAGTGGACTGGAACACAGGCTAAACTACCTTTAGCTATTAAATGGCTTTATCGATATAAACTTTGAGTTTGCAATAGAATTATTTCAAATTCTCTCTTGCAAATAACTTTGCTTATTTTTTATTTAAAAAAATCAATATAATAAAAAAGGGAATCAATATTAAAGATACACTGAAATTATATGCTGTCTTGTTTAGTTGTTTCATATACGCAAAAGCCGTCGGGTTTTAAATCCATTATAAAATCAATATTTAAAACAAACTTATCTTCGTTAACGTTGGGTCCCTTCTTTTAGCCGATTCTTTCGCCTTTTCTTTCTTGAAATTTATAAAATCTTGCAGAAATACGAGCAAAAATGAAATATATTTGCAAGAAATTTATATTCAAATATCAATTCAAGAAATGTTTGCTATTTTGCTGTCGTCATGCGGTCGTTTACTGTCTTTTACTGTCGTCATGCGGTCGCAAACTTTAAATTGGACCAATCAGTGTCCGTTATTCATGACAGTCCGCCATATTTTTGAGATCAGTGAGGATGACCACCCATCGTTGGTGACCGACGCCCGCGCTCATTGATGAACTTTAGACTTCGCTAATGCTTTCGTTTCCCCGGGTGTAAATAGCCGGGGGAATTAGTACCCTCGCACGGCGCTTCGCGCCGTCGGCTCGGGGATTAAGGGAGAGCGCTGGTGCTCAATGAATTAAATTAAACTGTTGTGTACTTTATATATCTGACTATAAATTTATATAATATATATAATATATTTAACAATTATACCATGAGCTCGAGTCGTATATGAGCTGATAGGCCGACGAGGTGCGTAGCACCGAGTCGGCTATCAGCCATATACGACGAGAGCGAATGGTATAATTGTTTTTATAATATAGTATAATATAGCCATTAACTGAAGCAATAATTAATTATTCACAGTTACAATGTGTTGACAATTTGTTCGGCCAAAAACCGCTTGAAAATTTGAAATACTTTTGTTTTACAACTCGAAGACGAAGTGAAAGAAATGGTTTTAGAACCTCTATATCTCACAGGAAAGCTCAGATATATTATACAGATGTTTGGTACTATAGTAAGTGCTTGTTGACTGCAAATTCATTTGTCGTTCATTGCAAACTTTTCTGAACAATTTATATTCTCAATGAACATGTTTTTTTCGCTGTTGTTTCGGTATTAATTCTTTAAAAAACTTGTATTTAAACTAATTTCTACGTAATACATGTATTTTGCTAACCTGTCAAAAATTTTTTGAGAGTTTTTCCTTGTACTATTATCTTTCTCAGATCAAAGCGAATATTTTCCTTTTTTCTACTTCGCAAAACTCATGTAGTTTTTGGACCGCCATCTTGTTTTTCGCTACTCGCCGTATATGAGCTGATATACGGCGAGTAATTCAACCAATCAGATTGCAGAACAGCTCATATATGGTGGATGACTATATTATAAATATATATATATATATATATATATATATATATATATATAATATATATAATATATATATCATACATAAAAGAAAATTTTCACCCACTGAAGAAGCCTTAACCGGCGAAACGTCTGGGTTATAGTCATTATACCTTTTTATGCCTGAGGAAGTTCTTGTTTTATTTTAATTTTTAAAACACCATTCACATTGAAACCAGGCATGACAACCATAACGCTTTCATATATATATATATATATATATATATATATATATATATATATATATATATATATATATATATATATATATATATATATATATATATATATAATCAAGATTTGCCCGACTGAAACATGCACTATTACCAGTAAATAAATGACACCTGAGAAATTGTTTATTATGAAAGAAGGTATTATTATATCTACAAAATACAAGCAAGATTTATTCGTCCGAAATCCGCGTTCGTTCCTAGCACGAATACGTTTCCTTATTTCATGAGATCACTGCATTGCGAAGGATCGTCATGAATCGTTCGTAGTTCAGAATTAGGGCATGCTGTCACAATGGAATTGTGAAGCTCTTCTAACTTCTGCAACGTTCTGATATCTTGTTAAGAACACCCGAACTCTTTTGCCTTTTCTTAATCTTGGCAAGTTCAGAATAAACAGAGAATGAAACACAATCAAACCATACAACTCCATAAGACATAACAAGCAACTCCCCGGAGACATCCAACATTTTTGGAACAAAACGTAACAAAATAGTAGCGTTGATACTGTGATGTGTATTTGCAAAAAGCAATATTATTTCCTTCATTAAAGAATAATATTCATCTTGCTATAACCAAGAAATAATCAACTGTTTTGAACCCATGAAAAACATAAAAAAATTAGGCTATTTAAGAAAAGCTATTTAAGCGCCTGCCTAATTGCATGGTCTTTCATCTACTTTTAAGTTTGTAAAAACCTATTAAATACTTGCATAATTTCGAACGTTCATATTTCAGGAAACAATGAGCTAAGACTTACAAGTAAGTGTTATGTAAGATGTATAAATCTACGCCATATCCCTTACAAACCCTAACGAGAATTCGCTGAAATACAAGTTAGCCTGATATGTCATTAAGCAGACAAACGCTGGAGTTAATATTTGATATGCCGATTTTCGCTAATTTTAGACACATCCCAAAATAAGCCACCGATTTTGAATATTAATATCTCCGTGAATTTTTAAGTAAAATACAACTGTAATATATCAAAATCTAAGTTAGTCCTTCCTCTATTTAACGCAAGTCATTTCTATTTGATAGCTTTACTTGTTTAGAAGTTATTATAAATCAAACGGGAGTACTTTTTTTTGGGACACCCGGTATATATATATATATATATATATATATATATATATATATATATATATATATATATATATATATATATATATATATATATATATATATATACCTATTTCACTATTTGAAGGGGACAACCTTTTTGACATGTACTAGTCATATTAACTGGTGAAATAAGTCAGCGACATATTAAAACAAGGCTCTGTATAACCACGGTGATTTACTTCCGGAAGGATGTATTATAATAATGCGCCCCATCAATATTGTTACATGCACAAAAAATTACATAGTACAAAATTAAATTACACAGCTGTATTCCCATTTCATTCAATGAAACAATCAAATCTAGAATATTATAAAAGTAAGTAAACAAAAAGGAAAAGAGCTATTAACTTGTGTGATAACATACTATTAGTTACGATTAAATGGAGAGAAAACTCCCGATAGAACTGGGGAGAAGATCCAAACGGCAAACTATTTGCGTGCTTTGTTTCATGACCGAATTATGTTTAATATGGCTGCATACTGCTGCATTGCCTTCGTGTTTTTGAAATTTATCACGACTAAAACAAGCTGAAAAAAGTATGTTTAAACAAAAAGCCGGTTTTCTGTTAGTTTAATTTGGATATATATTATTACTTGATATTTACATGTGCAATTTTTTTCAGCTTGTTTTATGAGATGTATTTACAAAGCATGCAGCCATATTCATAGATATAGCACAGTCTCGGGATAAACAACTGACCCGCGGCAGATCAGATAATAGTATGGTACCGAATTTCCATTGTAGATCTTACTCAAATATGAAACACTGATACTGACAGTACTACACTATAGACATGGGTACTTTAAAAGTTTATTGATTAATAGAGCTGCTAACATTTGACAAATTTTTACGGCATTTAATACACTGTAATTACATAAAAATCAAATAATTTGGATGCTGCCTTAATTGATATATAATTATATTACTTTTGATTACATGTGGCAAGGTTCGTAAATGAAGGCGTTAGAAAATAAAAAGTGACGTTAATCTGTTCAAATTGCTACTTTATAATTTAATGAATATCAAACAGTTTTGTAAGAAATGAACAAAGTTAATTCAACAAAATATCCATTTTTAATGCACCAAGAATGCACCTCTAATAAACTCAAGAACTTTCAAGGCCTAGAATTTTTGGTTTTAAATTCAAGGACTTCAAGTTTTGTACGAACCCTGCTATGACAAAATACTCAAATATCTAAAATGGGTATATAATTCTTATCTAGATAGGACTTATTCCGAATCAATTGACACGTGTTTAATAAAGAAAGAAAGATTCAATTTAAAGTTTCTTTAAGTTTCTGCCCTTAAATTACGAGGTTCTTGGGATGTTCCCATGTGAAGTCCTGTCCCGGTTTGAAATGTCCATAGACACAGGTCCTTTCAAAAATTGGACGTTTCAGTTCCAAATCTCTGTGAACAGAAAAAAGTTTGTTAAATTGGCATGCTCGATTAAACTTTTTATTATATGAGATGTTTTTTGTCCAGAAAGAACCATCTCATAGTATACACTCAACCATGGTATATTACAAAACGCTGCATGATTCTGATGGGTTACTTAATTAACCATTGACCATTATATGTAACGGACCACGGTTTTTTGTTCATGTTAGATATTACAAGCAAAACGGTTGATATCCGCACAACGATCTATAGTCTAAAACTACACCCGAGTCACAAACGAGTAACAGACGCGCGCACAAACAAGTACAGACGAGTAACAGAACAATACAGACGAGTAAATTTTCTAAATACGACTGATATTCACCTACATACAGGCTATCTTTAAACAGGCAATTAGGGAATCGGGAAGTGAGAAAACTGGGAAAACTGGGAAGTAGGCAAACACGAAGTGGAGCAAATAGGTAGTGGGGCAAACGGGAGAAATTGGAAGTAAGGAAACGGGAAGTGGGGAATTGTAGAACTGGGACGTGCTACAACAGCGGAGTGGGAGAACCACATAACCGTATAGAATGGGGAATTATCAAAATACCTAAAATTCCCAGCTGCATGTATTGAATAAATATGCATACTTTTTCCCCATATTTTGACCTATTTTGAGAATAAATAATTATTATTATTTTATTATTTATTATTTTTTCTCCTATGTGCAGATTTTAATAATTACAAATACTTTTTTTTAATGATATTGGGCTAGGGACCTACTAGAAACTTTTACAGGCTTTTTGGTTTAGGCCCCAAAATAATAATAATGATAATAATTAAAAATAATAATAAAAATAATGAGAATAGATACTGAAAGGTAAAATACCCTTGGTATCAATACATCTCAGCCTCTTAGCCATGCCTAAACTTTAATTATAGTATTGTCTTCACTAAAATTTGTTTACGAATGCCATCTTCCTTATCATCTAGTCTTTTCCCCCCATTACTCAGTTTACACATTCCGATTGTGCTCCTGCATGGTTCCCCATCCTCCAAGACAGCTATAGCAGTCACAGATTATTTAGAAAGCTGCCACGGTTTAATGAGTTTGCATATTGCAGCCTAGCCTGCTCACAGACGTTGTAGTTCTTACGCCAAGCGCCCAGAGCCCTTCTTACGCGCGGTGCGACGAGGGGCTCTGGCCAAATCCATAACCGGATACCATAAAAACATGGTAAGAAAACAATGTCCGGTGTTAGAACTAGCCAATCAGATGCCAGTTCGGAATATGGATTTGGCCAGAGCCCCTCGTCGCACCGTGTGTAAGAAGGGCTCTGGGTACGAGAATGCGTCTGCTTACCCGAGCGCCAAACTGAATTCCGCTACATCGACCAATCAGAATTTACCTTCCAAATTCTGGAAAGTGACGTCAGTTGATTTAGGAGCGGAATAAATATAAATATATATATATATATATATATATATATATATATATATATATATATATATATATATATATATAATATATATATATATATATATATATTGAAAGCAGTCGCCGGTTGAATTTTGGTCAAAATTGCACATAAATTGAATTTAAAGATACTGATACTTGTCCAGGTAATAAAATGCACCATTAATGATCAGATTTGGATATTAAATTTAAATTATTATATAATAC